ATCAAGCTATATAGAGAAGGTGGCCACAGGATGGTGCCTCATGAGGCACTAGCTCCCCTGCCAACCAGTACACAGCCATGCCGAGGCCCACCTATGGCTGGATCTCCCAGTAGGGTGACTTGCCTCAGTTTACCCCTTCAGTGGAGAAGGAAGTAGGTTAAGAAGCCAGATCTCCTGTGATTTAACCACTGAACACACCACCTCTTGGCAATAACCATCACAATTTGTGAGTGTCTCAGGCCTTAGGTCAGGGTCAGCCCACAGAAACCCAGGGAAGGGAGGGAGCTGAGGATTAGTTAAGTCAAATCCCTTAATTCCTCGACATCTTCATTTAACTCACTTGTAAAGTAGAGATAGTGATACCCATCTCAGGGGTTGCTGGGAGAATCAACAATGTGACTAAATCACATAGCATGGCGCCTGATGCTCCACAGAAGAAAGGTTAGCCAGGACCTGGAGGAAGGGACCCTGAGGCAGAGGCTGCCTCTGAGGGCCCATCAGACCACCAGGGCCTAAAATCCCCACTGACATGGGTCACTGAGTCATACATGAGTCACCATACGGTCAGCCTTGGGATTCCCAAAAAGAGGCCCGAGTCCAAATCAGGGGAATGAGCAAAGTATATTAATGCGTCCACTTATTCACTCTACAATTGAGTTGAGTGCCAGTTACACTTCAGGCACCGTGCGCAGCCTAGAAAAACAACAATGAAGGAGATGACAGGACAGGTGGCACCTGGATATTAAGGTACAGGGCCTCATCTCTAAGGATTTGTCTGGGGCCGCAGAACCAGGCCACCAGGCTGATACACACAGCCTAGTGCTCATTCTGGGTAAAGTGGCAGAGCCTGCATGATTTCCTTCTATTTCCCTGGGAAAGACAAAGTCTGAGGCTGTGACGAAATGTTCTGTCCAGGCAGGATGAACTCAAGATCCCGGGTGCAGGGAGGGGCCTCCTGGGGCCAGCTGAAAGGAAGCAGAGGCAAGGGTCATCGGCAGGCCCTGGGGTGGGGCTGAAACACTAAAGAGAAAGAAGAAAAAGCCAATAGGAATTGATCCTTCATGGAAGAAAAAGGCAATGAGACCTCCCAGACTCTGACCTTGACTTTCAGGATAGACATGCCCTTAATTGGCAGGATGCATTGGTTAGAAGACCAGAGTCCCAGAGCTGACTCTGCCCTCCTTGGCCACACGACCCTGCGACCCTTACCTCCCTCTCTGCCTCAGGAGTTTGGGTAGAATGACCTTTGAGGCCCCTTCCTGCTCTGGCCTTCTAGAGTGAAGGAGAGAGAAGCCTTTACATGTGAAATGCCAGCCACCCAAGCAGGGCTGTGTGTGTCCCTCTGGCCTTTTTGGCTATCAATACCTTTTAAATATACATTAAAAGAGACAAATGGGTTCTGCCCTGCTGAGGACGGTGGTTATTGTGGACAGAGGGGCAGGGCAGGCAGGGGGTAGTGAGAGGCCCGAGGGGATTCACCTCCACAGGAGGGTCATGTTTTGTTTTCTGAGGTCCCCCTGTGAGCAGGGAATACAAACAGAGAATGCTCCCAAAGCAAACCGCATTAGGCTCAATGCCTTTGTGCATTTTTCAAACATTCTGAGCCCTGTCCTTCTCCAGCCACTGCACCTAATTCAAGAGGCTCGACTGGCAGAATGACACGGGTACCCAGCACAGACGAGGTTCCAGGGCTGAGTCAATAGGAGTTCCTGAGACTCTCTTGGGCCAAAAGCAGGTGTCTCCAATCCATCAAGCCCTCCCTAGAAAGGTCTTGACCACTTAGATGGTGGTAGGATTTGACCTCTGCTAGGAAGAAGCCAGGCACTGCATACCTATAGCCTGCAAACTGTTTTGTTCAGACCAGGCAAGGAGTTAAAATTAGGTAGTGCAGTGGTTCTCAAAATGTGGCCCCCAGACCAGCAGCATCAGCATCACCTGAAAACTTGCTAGAAATGCAGATTCTTGGGCCTCTACTGAATCAGAAACTCTAGGGATGGGACGCAGCAATCTGTGTTTTTACAAGCCCTCCAGGTGATTTGGACACCTGGTAAAGTTTGAGAGCCACTGAGGTAGTGTAACTAGGTAGGCGCCATTCTTGGGACCAATACAAGCTGTTTAATAACTCCTGTCCTCAGCTTGACCTGCTTGGTGCTTTCATGTGACCAGCCAGCTGGGCCCCATGCTGCATCTGACGTTTGTGACCCTTGGCAGAGAAGGTAGTTGCATCCTGAGCATAAGCTCCTGATGACCAGATGTCCATCGACAGATGAATGGATAAACAAAATGTGGTGTATACATACAGTGGAATATTATTCAGCCTTAAAAAGGAAAGATCTTGAAGCATGATGCTAAGTGAAATAAGCCCAACACAAAAGAGCAAATATTATATGATTCCACTTATATGAGGTAGCTAGAGTAGTCAGATTCATAGAGGCAGAAAGCAGAATGGTGGCTACCAGGGGCTGAGGGGAGAGGGAAATGGGGAATTAGTGTTTAATGGGTAGAGCTTCAGTTTGGGAGGATGAAAAAGTTCTGGAGATGGACGGTGGTCATGGTCACACAGCCATGTGAATGTACTTAATGCTCCTGAACAGTACACTTAAAAATGGTTAAAAATGGGGGCTGGCCCCACGGCCTAGTGGTTAAGTACAGTGCGCTCCACTTCAGTGGTCTGGGTTTGGTTCCCAGGTGTGGACCTACACCACTTGTTAGTGGCCATGCTGTGGCAGCAACCCACATACAAAATAGAGGAAGATGGGCACAGATGTTAGCTCAGGGTGAATCTTCCTCAAGCAAAAAGAGGAAGCTTGGCAACAGGTGTTAGCTCAGGGCAAATCTTCCTCAGCAAAAAAAAAACAAGGTTACAATGGAAAATGACAAATTTTATGTTATGTACAGTTTACTACAATTTTAAAAAAAGAACAACAAAAAAACCTCCTTGTGAGAGTTTGCTGAGACCACAGCCTCTCTGAATCATCTACTTATAAAAGGCTCCCCATGACTTCCAGAAGAGTGTCCTAACTTTCTTTTTTTTAATTTTTTTGTTGTGGTAAAAAACACATATCATAAAACCTACCATCTTAACTATTTTAAGTGTACAGTTCAGTAGTGTTGGCGTATTTACACTGCTGAGAAATAGATCTCCAGACCTTTTTCATCTTGCAGAACTGAAACTCTATACTCATTAAACAACAACTGCCTTTTGCCTCCTATCCCCAGCCCCTGGTAACCACCATTCTATTTTCTATATCTCTGAACCTGACTACTTTATATACCTCACCTAAGTGGAGTCATATAATCTTTACCCGTTCGTGACTGGCTCGTTTCACTTAGCAGAACGTCCTCAAGGCTCATTCATGTTGTAGCTTGTGACAGGATTTCCTTCATCTTTAAGGTTGACTAATATCCCACTGTATGTATACAGCACATTTTGCTTAACCATTCATCCATTAATAGACATTTGGGTTGCCTCCACCTCTTGCCCATTGTGAATAGTGCTGCTATGAACACGGGTGTGCAAATATGCCTTCAGACCCCACTTTCAATTCTTTTTGGATATATACTCAGAAGTACGATTGCTGGATCACATGGTAGTTCTATTTTTAATTTTTTGAGAAGTTGCCATACTGTTTTCCATAGTGGTTACACCATTTTACAATCCCACCAACAGTGTCCAAGAGTTCCAGTTTCACGTCCCTGTCAAAATCTGTTATTTCTATTTTTTTGATAGTAGCCATCATAATGGGTGTGAGGTGATATCTCATTGTGGTTTTGATTTGCATTTCTCTGATGATTAGTGATATCAACCATCTTCTCATATGCTTATTGGCCATTTGTATAGCATTGGAGAAATGTCTATTCAAGTCATTTTCCCTTTTTTTTTTTTTTTCGGTGAGGAAGATCAGCCCTGAGCTAACATCTGCCAATCCTCCTCTTTTTTTGCTGAGGAAGACTGGCCCTGGGCTAACATCCGTGCCCATCTTCCTCCACTTTATATGGGACGCCGCCACAGCATGGCTTGACAAGCGGTGCGTTGGTGCATGCCCGGGATCCGAACCCTGGGCCACCGCAGCAGAGCACACGTATTTAACCACTATGCCACCGGGCTGGCCCCCTTTTTCCCATTTTTAAATTGACTTATTTGACTTTTTGTTGTTAAGTTGTAGTCCCAACTTTTTTAACTTGAAACCTAAGGCTCTTCCAGACTTGGCCCAGCCAACTTTTTCACTCTTATCTCTGACCATCCCCTACACCAGCAGTTCTCAACCGGGGGTGATTTTGCCACCAGGAGGTGTTTGGCAAGTCTAGAGACATGTTTGATTGTCACATCTTGGGGGCTGGAGAGGACTGCTACTGGCATCTAGCAGGTAGAGAACAGGGATGCTGCTACATACCCTACAATGCCAGGACAGCCCCCACAACAGAGAATTATCTGGTCCAAAATGTTAAGAACTCTGTCCTACACTATTCCCTAACACCAAACTCTTCCATTCATTATTCCAAACACTTTGCCCTTGGTTTACACCCTTGACCTTCTGGAATGCTTCCCTGGCCACCACGCATCACTGATGGGCAAATCCCACTCCTGCTATAAGGCTTTCCCAACCAATATGGCTCACGGTAACTCCCTGCCCTCTGAAAACTTACTCAAGAATTAGCCAGTAAGAACTCGTATTATGCCTGCTGCCTCCCCCTCCCAGTGAGACCCTTCAGGACCCAATTCCCTATCTCCCTCTGTGCTTGCACACAGTAGGACCAGATATGTGCTTGTTGACTGGCTGCCAAGCAGTAAGAAAGGGAGTTGACTGCAGGGTGGTCACCTCATGCTAACACTCCAACACCAGGAACACCGTGCTCCAAGAGGCTTCCGCCCCAAAAGACCCCGAATCCCGGCACTGAGAAACCTGAGGACCAGAAGCATGCTGAGAGCCCCACCTAAGCTATTTCACCTCCCTCTGGATTCTGAGTGTCGCCAAGTCCAGCCACACACCAGCAGAGACAGGTGCTCTGGACGTCTCTGTCTTGCTCACCTCCAGACGCCTGCCCTCCTGAGTCTGCGCAGCGTGGTCTGTGTGCCGCAGCTCACTATCTAGGGCGATAAATTGAATTCATGAATACCATTTGGCAAATCCCAGCAGCCAAATGACTGACAGCAGTTTTCATACCGAGCCCTGCAGGGCTGGAACAATTACGCCGTATCAGTTTGAAATGAGAAAGATCTCTCAATAATGCAGCCAGTTGCTCCAGCAGCCGCATCCTTGTCCAACAGGCCCTGCTCCTCCCACTCAACTTAAAAGGCAGCTCTCCAGCCTCCTGGTGCCTGCTGCCTGCCCGTGAAGACTCACCCAGCACCAGAGCCGACCAGCACCTGGCCAGGTGATCCAGCAGGCCCAAGATGCCACAACAGTAGGCAGACCTGCCCATCTGAGCCACAGCCAGGCCAGCCTTGCAAACAGGATCTAGGATGAATGGGCTGGGCTTGAAAATCAGTCTCGAAGAGTTCTTGACTTGCTCACTATACAAGTTACTGGCCCAAGCACCTTAACCACCCATTTCTACTTAGATACCCATCCTGGAGTGATCAAGGTAATAAGAACTACATATGTCTGATGCTGTGCTAGGCAATCCACATACACCATCCCATTAGATATCATTTTCCCTACTTTGGGTGTCAGAGACTTTAAGTAACTTCTCCCAGGTGACACAGGCAATAAATGGCAGAGCTAGGATTCATACCTTGGGCCATGTGATCCAAAGCCCATGCTCTTCTCCCCACATGACATTATAAGAATCCTTTTTCCATTTCAAAATGGCTCCACGGTCCCTCCAACCACTCATACCCGGCCTCCGCTGCCTCCCCCGGAGGCCTCTCACCCCTGATTGTCAGTGTCGTTACATTAGGTTTCTTTTCACTCCAATTCCCATTATATCATCTCAGCCAAGCATTATAAAGGAGCCCCATCATAAACATGAGATTGATTACAAGCAGAGACTGTTGCGTCTAATAAATAAGCATGCGTAATGTATACAGAAGGAGAAACAGACACCTCTATATTTTCAGTTTTGTAAAGACAAATTGCCTCGATTGTTTAATCAATAAAAATGCCTTTCTAACTCCTACTATTATTACCAAGCAATTTCAGACAGAGCGGAAAAGAAGCATCCCATCTGTATTCCTGTCAGGACAGACAGGGTCTGAATAGGCCGATGGATGAAGGACAGACCCAACGCCAGTCCACTGAAGGCCTGTGTCTGTACCCTCCTCGCTGCCATGCCTGGGCAGAGGAGGAAGTAGCAGGTGTCTTGATCTCAGTTGCATATCAGGTTGGGGGGGCCAAGGCACAGGGAGATTCATCTAAACTGTGAGGTTTGATCTAATCAGGGGATTCCTTGGGACAAACATACCCCACAGGTCAGAGGAAGGGCAGCCTTGCTGATGGGGCAGAGGGAGGGGAAATGAAGAGAGGAGGGTGCTCACCCTAAATGTCTTACTGTCACCTCCAACTTTCCATCCCTCCAACCACTGCCAAGTTCAGACGCTCGGCATGTCGCAATGAACAAGCACCTCCTCGCTGGCCTTCTTGCCTCCTGCCTCATGCCTCTAACTCTCACGGTGGCCCTGGTCATCTACCTCAAACAAACATCTGAGGGAGGAAGGAATGGTCACTCCCTCACAGAAAGCTTGTCAGTGATTCCCCCAATGTCTACACGAGAAAGTCCACACTCCTCTCTCTAAATAAAGGCTCCTCCTGAACTGGCTTTGTCTTCTTTCGGACTCACCTTCTATCTTCCTACCCATGTACCTTTCCTCCGACTGCTCCAAACTCTGTAGTTTGCTGAACACCCTGCACCTCATGCTCCTAAGCCTGTGCACATTCTGATCCTTCCCCTGAAATGCCATTCCCCAGATCCTCTCTTGGCAAATTCCTACTCTCCCTTTAAGACCCACTCACATGACCTCCTGTAAGGCCCTTCCCTGCTCCCGCCCTATACTCCCGCCCTAGAGCTCTGCCACACCCGCCTCAGAGCTCTATTGCTGCATTCTAAGTGTCAGCTCACCTGCCTGTCTCTATGTGCTAAGGACTTATAAAGTATCTATCTCCAGCCCTTACCTCTGTCCTGAACCTCAGACTCAGATGTCCAGCTGTCTCCTTGCCAAATGCTCTTATGCCTCATAGGCATCTCCAAAACATACCTCTGAACTCCCAACTCCCAAACTTGTTCTCCCCAAGGGTCCTCAACTTAGAAAATGGCACCCTGATCCAGCCAGTTGCTTGACCAAAACTCACAGTCACCCTTATTTCCTCTTTTTCCCTCATGTTCCACATCCAAAAACGAGTCCTATCAATACTATGTCAAAAACATATCTAACACAAAAGTAATTCAGTAGAGGAAGGATATATTTTCAACAAATGGTGCTGCAACAATTGGATATCCATTTGCAAAAATAAAAAAAAAAAAAAACAAGAACCTTAACCCATACCTCTCACCATATAGAAAAATACCTCAAAATGGATCATAGACTGAACTATAAAATCTAAAATTGTAAAACTTCCAGAAGAAAACATAGGACAAACTATTTGTGACCTTGGATTAGGCAATGAGTACTTAGATACAATACCAAAAGCATGAAACATAAAAGAAAAAATTGATAAATTAGACTTTATCAAAATTAAGAACTGCTGCTTCTCAAAAATCACTGTCAAGAGAATGAAAAGAATCCAAAAGATTTGAAAGCAGGGTCTCAAAGAGGTATTTTTACACTCAGTTTTATAGAAGCATTATTCACAACAGCCAAATAGTGGAAGCAATCCACACATCCATGAGCAGATGAATGGATAAACAAAATGTGGTCTATCCATATAATGGAATATTATTCAGCCTTAAAAAGGAAGGAATTTCTGACCCATGCTACAACATGAATGAACCTCAAGGACACCATGATAAGTGAAATACCAGTTACAAAACGATAAATACTATATGATTCCACTTAATAAGTAGTCAAAGTCATAGAGACAGAAAGTAGAATGGTGGTTGCCAGGGATTGGAAAGTTGTTATTTAATGGGTACAGAATTTTAGTTTTGAAAGATGAAAAGAGTTCTAGAGATTGGTTGCACAATAATGTGCATGTACTTAATGCTCCTGGATGGTACACTTAAAAATGGTTAACATGGTAAAAATTATGCTATGTGTATTTCACTACAATTAAAAAAAAAGAAACTACAAAATGTAGACCATTACAATATGATTCTCAAAGAGGACGTCTTCTGGAACCATTCTCTGAATGACAATAGAGGAGTGGTCTGTGATAAAAAATTATATATGCTTTAGTCTTTGTTCTATTTTCATAAATATACTTGGTCTTGTGATTTAAAAAAAAGAGAGAGTGAAAAAGAAAGAGAGAATGAAAGACATACCACAGACTGGGAGAAAATACTTGCAAATCACATATCTGATAAAGGACTTGTATCCAGCATATATTTTAAAAACTCTCAAAACTCAGTAATAAAAAAACTAACAAGAAATACAAAAATGTACAAAAGACTTAGATACTTCACCCAACAGACTGCAAACAAGCAGGTGAAAAGATACTTACATCATTATTCATTATGAAAATGCAAATTAAAACCACAATGAGATACCACTACATATCCACTAGAATGAAGAAAAAAAATTTTTTTAATTTTTTTGAAAAAGGACAATACCAAGTGCTGGTGAGGATTCAGAGCAACTGGAACTCTCCTATGTTGCTAGTGGGAATGCAGAATGGTACAGCCACTCTCGAACACAGGTTGGCAGTTTCTTACCAGATGACCCAGCAATCCCACTCCTAGGTATTTACCCAAGTGAAACGAAATATGTTCACAAGGTAAAAGCCTGTACTCAAATGTTTATAGCAGCTTTGTTTGCAATTGCCAAAAACTGAAAACAACCCAAATGCCCTTCAAGTGTTCAGTGAATATACAAACTGGTATTTCCATAGAATGACATACCACCCAGCAGTAAAGAGAAGTGAATTGCTGACTTATGCAGCAACATGGACTACTCTCAAATGCATGATGCTAAGGGAAAGAATGCATCGTGCTAAGACTCTAAAAGCTACATACTGTAGGATTCCATTTATATGACTTTTTAGAAAAGACAAACCTATAGGGACAAAAAACAGATCAGTGGTCTGCAGGGGTGGAACATAGGGGAGGGATTGACAGAGGGGCACAGGGGAATTTGGAGGTGACGGAATGTTCCATATCTTGACTGTGGCAGTGGTTACACACTGTATGTGTTTGTCAAAGCTCACAGAACTTTACACTAAACAGGGTGAATTTTACTGTATGTATAGTGTATCTTAACAAAAAAAATGCAAGTACACTTATCTGGACCTGCCCAGCAGGCATCTGTTGTTGCCAGGGCCTCTCTCTGTCCAACCCTCCATCAGCTCTCACCCAGCCTACTGCTACCCGTTGCTTCACTTTTCCTCCCCTATAATTTATTCTTAAAGAGCAGTCAGAATTACTTTTTCAAATATAAATCTGATTATGTCACTCCCCTGCTTAAAACTCCTCCAGTGTCTTCTCATCTCCTTTTAGAATAAAATCTTGGCGCTCTGGCCTCACCGCACACCCCTCCCCCTTGTCCGCCATGAGCCAGCCACTCTGGCCATCTTTCTGTCTCTCGAGGACACCAAGCATCCCCATCTGGGGGATTTTGCTCCTGCCTAGTTCCCCTCACCTGAAGGCTCTGCCCTGACCACCGTGTGGCTGGCTCCTCCTTATCCTTCAGGTCTGAGTGGACATGTCACCTCCTCAGAGAGGGGCCTCCTCAGTTGGCCCCACCTCATCATTCTGTAGGCCCACACCTCATCCGTCCCAGGGTTTTCATTTTGTCACAGCACTCATTACATCCTGATAATTCTAATTTACCACTGGTCCCCGCTCCACTAGAGCGCCATCATGCCAGACTTACTCACTTCTAAATCCTCAGTGCCAGGGCAGGTCATGGCATACAGTGGGTGCTCAATATATGCTGCTTGGACTGACATCTTTAGTGATGAGTCTGCCTCCAAGCCTTCCTGGGCATTCATGGTGGGGGGGGCGTCCCTCAGACATGGGGAAAGTACAGCACTGCCTGCAGGATCTCCCCCCTCGTCCCCACTCTGGGGGGAGTACTTAACCTGGAACCTCCAACAGCCAGTTAGTGGCAGAGCCAGGGCTCAAACCCAGCCACCTGTGGGGCTGGAGGCATTAGCAACCCTCTCCACCTCCCACTGTGGAGATAGAGTATCTGTGGAGATGGGTCAAGCTGGGGCCACGAAAGAAAGGAAGGAAGGAATATACAGCAAGACAGTACCAGGATCCGCCAGCCGGCTCAGCCCAGCCCTCAGCCCGGCCCACCTCCCCGCTTCCAGGGCTGAGGGGCAGCTACTGAGCGGTTCTCGGGATTCAGAATCGGATTACACCAAGTGGTACTGAGAGCCACTCATGTGTCTGGCGCTGCGCTAGGCACCCCTTTTACAGAAGGGAGGGAAGGTGGCTAACGTCGGCTTCCTGGGTGCCTGGTAAGTCCCAGAAGCTCTAGGTTTGTTGTCTCATTAACTCCAAGGACAACCCTGTGAGGTTGGCAATAGCATCTTCATTTTTATGTGACCTCAGAGAGGTCATGCCTGTTGTAAGTGGCAGGGCCTTTTGGAGTCCATGTCTAGAGCTGGTTCCATCCGTGCCTGCGGGCAGCTCTAAACCCCATGCTCTCTCCGGTTTCTTGGGAAGCATTAATCTAGCATGTTCTCAGCCCAAGAGCAGAGGAGCAGACCAGAAAGCCCAGAGGATCCTGCTGCCGTCGTAACGTCAGGCGTCCCCTTTGTTACCCCTGGGCTGTGCCCACCTCTATCCCCCCAAATTCTCATTTCCCATCTCCTGTGGGTGTAGACTCACAGCTGAGTTCAACTTCAACCAAAGTCCCAGCACAGGAGAAGACTGTTGGTGCCCTTCTATCTCCCTGCCCCCTGGCCCTGTTTCTCTCCTTTTCTCTGTCCCCATCTCCCTGTCTGCCCTGTCTCTCTCCCTTTGTCAGTCTCTCTGTCCCTGTTGCTTCATCTCATACATGCACGTGACACACACATGCACACACGCACTGCTGCCACCCCTTTTCCAATCACTTCCTTCAGCCGTTCAACTCACTCTGCCGAAAGGACAGGACTGACAGACCAAGGCTCTGGAAAACCGCTGCAGGGGATCAAGGAGATCAAAAGGATGTCTGGGCTGCGGTTGTGGTCCCCAGGGCTGGAGTCTGTGCACTGTACAGGGGCTGGCGGCAACCTGGAACCCGCTCCAGCATCACCACTCCTCGTGAAGCTCTCAGCCTTGCTAAATACCCACCTGGCGGCTGCAGCTGCACACCTGGCCGCCAGGAGGGAGCGACTCTGTCCAGCAGATGCTCTGGGCCAGCTCAGCTGCAGCCCAGTGATGTGGTTGGGGAGGGCTGGACAGAGGAGGGCAGTGACTGGCATAATTTCATGTCTGGTCTTTCCTACCCGGCAGGCAAAATGACTCTGTGACTCCCTGGCTCTCTAAATTAGTTGCATTTTACAATCCCCCTGTCTGGCCGGAAATGTCTCATTAAATCTTAATGATCTGCCTTCCAAGAAACGCCCCAGGCCCTCTGTCCCCTGGATGACACCTAGCCCCAGAAAAGCAGGGTTGGATGCTGGTGGAGGGCAGAGAAAGATGAACTCCCAAGAGATGGTACCCGGAATGGGCTCCCATCCATTTTGCATTGGGCAACTGTCTTCAGAACCTGAAGCAAGAAAGTCCTTCTAAGTCAAGAGATCTCCATCATCCCATTCTGCACTTCCCACAGGACCCCGTCCCTTCCCACTCTCCTCTCAGGCCACAGCCTACTCAGCCACTCTGAATCCCACCTGGCTCTCCTCCAACCCAGGCATTTCCTTACGTCTCTAGGCTACAGAAACCACCAGGCTCCAAGTCCACAAGACGCAGAATTCAGGACAGACTGTACCTTGCCCCACTTCTCCACGCATACAGCCAAGGCTAGGACAGGAATCTCTCTTTGAAAGAAAGATGCCACACGACCTTCAGGACTATTCAAATATTAACTACCTGGATAAACAGTTTCTCCTACATTCTCATTATCACCTCCCTTGCTGATGCTAAAGTGCAATATTTCTCTTTTATATCCAGTGTAGAAGATGCTTCTGGTGACTCCTGGGGAGAGGGAAGAAATGACAAGAAAGAAGGGAGAGCAGACTTAGGGGAAGAGGGAGTGGAATCCTTTCAGCTCCCACCCCAACATGGGCAGTCTAGACACCTGGCAGGAGCTAAGATGAGACCTTGAGCAGAAGGCTGGAAGTCACCTAGAAGCAAACAATAGCCAGCCTTATCCCTGGCCCAGCACAGGCTGGTGGTCACAGAGGGACCTTGGGAACACAGCCTCATGATGACCTATCCAGTTCCAAGAGCTTCTTGTACAACCTGGGCCTTGTCACCACTTGGGCCTGCCTCTCCAGAGGCATTGCCACTTGCCCTGGCCAGACTGGCTGTCCATGTCCATCAGAGCTGTAAGCAAGGGGGGGCCAGCCCCGTGGCTTAGCGGTTAAGTGCGCGCGCTCCGCTACTGGTGGCCCAGGTTCGGATCCCGGGCGTGCACCGACGCACCGCTTCTCCGGCCATGCTGAGGCGGCATCCCACATACAGCAACTAGAAGGATGTGCAGCTATGACATACAACTATCTACTGGGGCTTTGGGGAGAAAAAGGGAAAAAAAGGAGGAGGATTGGCAATAGATGTTAGCTCAGAGCTGGTCTTCCTCAGCAAAAAAGAGGAGGATTGGCATGGATGTTAGCTCAGGGCTGATCTTCCTCACAAAAAAAAAAAGAGCTGTAAGCAAGGTTCCTTTTCATGGACCTTGCATTAAACCCTGTACATTCTTGGCTGGACTCTTTCCTTCCCTTCTTCATTCTCTCTCATCTCATGTAACCTTTGGTCTCCACCTGCCCAGGTCATGAGAAAGCTAAGCACAGGTGTGTGATCCTTCCCTGCTTCCTATACCACCCCTGGCCAGTCAAAACTCTCACCAAGTCAAGAGCACCTGCCTCTCCACACTCCCACGCCTCCCCTGGGAGAGTAGCAGAAAGGAAGGCCCCAGTCCTCCTGAAGTCCAGCCTCGCCCAGCAGAGAACACAAGTCTATTACCAACCACCATTATTGCAACCCATTTTAAAGTTATTATCATGGATTCTTAAGATGTCAACAATGAGGAATCCTATTGTCCCACTACTTAATACAGCAATCTCCCAGAAATAATAGGAGTTGTAACTATAATTCCAAACTCACCCCTCGACCACTGGAATCAACTAATTAAACAACAATCAGCCAGCACTGGGCTTTCATGGGGAAGACGGACTATTCCTTTTTATAGCTGCAATTAGGCGACACATTCAATAATCAGAATGAAATGCAAATTTGCCCAGGAGCCCAGTAAATTATGGCCATTCATACTTTGTTTTCCTATGG